CCCTAAAAAGATAGCATAAAATAAAGGGAAATTTAGCAAACTAATATTAGAGCAGGTCACTGAGCAGTTTCTTTGACGTACATTGTAGCTAATGAAGTAAGCCAAAGCAGCAGATTCATGTTCAAAATACCTTTGGATTGCAGATATTAGTAGGTGATGGATGTTAGTTTTGAAACACCATTTGTTTTACTGATTTCCTACAGAATTCCTTTTGATTTACATTTACTTATCATGTAGTCTCAAATGAAGGTGTCAGCAGAAAACAAGATTTCCTGGAATTCTATCATAACTTTGGAAACTTCACTAGCCAGGTAATAGTTCTTATTGTGAGTGCTACTTTTTGCAATGCCTTAGCTTTTTTCACTCTTCATAGCCTAAAAAATTATGATATTGGTAAAAAAGAACTTAGTTGAAGCTACACTGCCACCTTTGCTACAATCAGAAGGATCCAAGCTACCACTATATCAAGTGTCTGCTTTTTTTTTGGTGTGAGTTGTCATCCAAAGGACATAAGTCTTTTCTTTGTTGTTTATTAGGTCACACAATCATCAGCTTTTTTCTCAGTCATAGAACATCTCTTTTTCAGTCCACTCAGTATTATCGTTACAGTATTATGGTGAAACGATCTTATTCATCAATAATTGATTATTGTCCTTGTTTCTTTTCAAATTGTTATTCTCTCATGCTCATTTTAGTTGCCAGTTAGTATGACACTGTTGTTTGTATCTTCTTATGACATGAGAATCATCATATCTATTCATTTCATGCTAGAAGTTTGCTAGCTTTATTTTTGTACCATGTCTCTTGACAGTTTACTATTTCTTTTTAGCCTTATCTAAGTAAAACTCTACTTTGAATCATCGTATTTCAGTTTGAACCTACAAATTAATCTGCACCTAAACCTACTACTATTTTTTCTACTACTACTGCTACTAAGGCCAATAAACTTCGATTGACCCTATGACCCTTCATGTCAAACACTATTGATCAATCTAAATCTTTGAACTTTGATCTGTCATTACATCAGTTTAAATCTACATAGAGGAGTTTGAATTATTGTAACCTTGCATTGTGCCACCCCTGTAGTTGTTGAGGATTTGAGTGAGCTGCAGCCTCTAGAATCTTCACGATTACAGTTGATTTTACCATTAAAGTCATTTAGTGAATTATCTTGTTACCCATGAGTTTTTTTGCACGTTTTAGCCAAATTTCTAATTTTTGAAGCTGCTATGAATATTATTTCCAGATCACACAACTGTGAATGAGCCCCAAAGAAAGCTCTACATATTACCGGAAGTTTTACCAATGACAGATTTTTACACTGACTTTAAGTGTACTGTTGAATAACATTATTGTACATCCAATAAAAGCGGTACTTACAGTGAACGTATGTAACTGTGTTCCTTGGAAAGCATCAATCAAATGAATAACTCCTCCATTTGTAGCCAATAAGATCATTTTCCCATCAGAACTAAACTTAACTCCTGTCCACTCAATGCTTGGGTCATTTTGAATGTGGAAAGTAGAAAATGGACCCTGAAGGAAACAATTCACTTATGCTTAAACATTGTTCTGAAAGTACAAGTCAGATAACACAGAAAAGCAAGGTCAAAATAAAGAAAATTTTAAAACTAAAATAAAAAAGAATTACCAAAAAAAAAAAAAAACAGTAAACTTTGCCCTTAGTGTTGAACAAGGAGGGTATTTAAATCTAAGTCCCCCTCCCTGTGGACCCACTTTATTTACCAAGCAAATTGGTGACAAATAAAATTAAAGTAACTTTCCTGCATAAGTGCACAATGCATTTAAAACATCACAAGTAAACACATAGGGCTGGTTGCTTAAACAAAGTTTAGCTGTTGTTTAACAAAACCACACTCTTAGCCTTCTTCAATCTAGCCAAACCTTTTATCTAAGAATCAATTTTTTGTGAACAGTGTCAACAGGCTGAAACCTAAAAGTAGACGGACATCTATTAAAATGAAATCAACCCTCTTAAGGAGAATCACTGAGGCCCACTGCTTGCGGAAAACCGCAGTTTGGGTTAGATCTTTTTTAAATAAGCAGCCCATATAATGCCCATTGAAGGAACTGTCAACTGTACTTTAAAAAACTTTTAAAGCTCTTAAGACTTTTAAAACTCTTTTTGTTTTTACCAAACCTTCCAAAGTGTTCCATCTACCAAATAGATATGGTTGGTAACCCCTACTGTAGTTCATTTGCTTTTTAAACAGAAGTTTCCAGTGCTCTTTTTGTGGCAACTGTTCTAAAGGAATGTTATATGTGAACATTGAGCTAATATTGTTGGATATGTTTCATTACAATATATTGGCAAGAAATACCTTGTCAAAAGACCTCAGATCATACAGTTTAACCATTTCAGAGTCCACTCCAGCTGCAAAAATCAGACCCTCTGGATCAAAAGCTGCCACAGGTCTCCCATTCACATGCATCAACCCCTCAATGAAAAGACATATGAAAATAATATATAAATTTTCTTGTTTCCATGTGATAATTAGCAATCATTTTTGTGATTTCTTCTGTAAGAAAGTCATGGTCATTTTAAGTACCTGACAATTAGGGGATCTCAGATCCCACAACCTGAGTGTCCTATCCAATGATCCTGATACAAAAGTATCATCCATAGGAGACATGTGTAGGGTCATAACTCTACAAAAACACACATGTATGTGAGGCAAAGAATTTACCAAATGATGTAAATAACAATAGAAAAGGATGTGAAATAATATCACTTGTCAATTACAGATCAAGTTTTTCATTTGGTACTTACTTTTGTTGTTATAACAGACACACATTTTAATGGTCAATTATCTATCAATTCAAGTAACCTACCATATCCATATAGGTTTAAAACACTTAACAGAATCTGTTTCTCTCTTACAATTACATACTGATTGTTGTTCAAGTCTTCTGTTGGCTTAAAAAGCTTCAAACCAATAAAATTTATGTTCTTTTGTTTTGTTTTTGCTTCTTTTTTAGATAAGCAATACTTAAAAGTAAACAATTAATATAAATCTTTGTGACAAGACACCAAACTTACTCAAAAGCAAGGGGAAAAAAATCAAGTGTAATTAAAATTAAAATTCTTACCTCTTTGTGTGTCCTGTAAAGTATCTGAGATATTTATTGTCATGTAGAGAAAGATAACGGATAGTGTCTGTTGCAAGAAACAGTAGAACAGGAAAATTACAATAGTTGTTTCATCTTTTTGACAACAGAGCTTGACTCTATGGGAAAACAGAGTCTGAGAAGAGTTCTGATCTTCACACTGCTACAATCAGTCGCATTTTAATCTAAGATCCTGTTTATCATAAAGAGTAGATAAGCTCCCCCATACTTCCATGAAAAAGACACAAGAAGGAAAAAGAAAGAAAGACTGTGTGAAGGAGACATTGAAATGCACAATGGAGAAAAAGTCCACAACTGGGACAGGGGCCTTAGGCTTCAACCTTCAATATCCTCAAGGATTTGAGGCTGATTTCCCTTCTCTAATACATTTTTATGGAAAAAAAACAACAACAGCAACAAACAAATTTTTTACCAACACTGATATTACCATAAATGCAACCTTCTGAGCTGAGTAAATTGGTAGGTGAAATACATATGTGCTGAGCACTTTGGATTTAAAAATCTATAGGTAATATACATCAGAGGCTTTGAAAGTGTAGATTATTTTGATTAGAGTATTCTAAGTCTTTCCTAATAAATCTTACTTGATTTTCAAGGTTAAACTTGTTGATCAGACCAAGAAATTCCATCATTTTTAGTTTCATTTTTGACAATGTCTCCTGCATGAAGCTACTGATGACAGTGACTTAAATAATTCTCTATTCTTTTATGCAAAAATTCATCAGTTCTTAACTTGTTACATTTGGGTGTTTGTGGTAGTAGCATTATGATAAAAATAAATCATAAAAATAATAACAACTTGGCAACAATTATTATTATTCCCTAAATAAAGTTTCTAGAGGAAGGTATACTGCGGTGAATATAGCACCCTAGTTGTTTTCACTGTGTGGCTGTTGGTAAAAATCCCTGACAATTGAATGGATTACAAGAAAACACTCTTTTACATAATTTTTTTCCCAGTAAGCATTTCAAGTGACATTACTTCTTCTCTGGAGTTTACCACTACAATAGGGTATTGATTACCAGTTTAAAAAATTCTTAATTTTTGTTTTCTTATCTAAGAATAAAAATTTCCTTCATCTCTCTTATATTATCAATCAAAATGATAAATTTTCATTGTAATTATTTACGGTAATTAGTAATGTATTGTAATTTAGGATTCCCTCATTCGACCTTATTAGATATCAAAGACTGGCCCACCAAGATTCGTATGAGCTATCTGCGTGTCAGAATAGCTGTAAATTTTATTCTAAGAATAAAAAAAAAAAGTTGTTGTTTGAGCTCACCATCAATCTTGGTCGAAGTGTGAATCACTGTGTTTGTTGCATGTGTGTACTGGATTTGTGCCACACCATACTTCTTGCTGTAAAGGGTTCTTTTCGGCCTATAAAACGACAAAAAAGTTAGAGTTTTGTGTTATCGTTAAGATATCTGTCATGACAACCATGAAGTGAAGTCATTCTTCTCTCTAGGAGTTGAATTGAAATTTTCTAAACTTCGTGCTCACTTTCCCTCAAGGCAGTCATAAATAACTATGGAATCATCATCACTGCTAGTGATCAGAGTCTCGCCATTTGGCGAGAAGTTTATGTGATTGATTCGGTCACTATTTTCTCGAAATACTTTTGCAACTCGAAAGCTACGAATAGTACTGTCCACAAGCTTCATTGTGTCCAGGAGCAATAGACTGCCGCCATTTGCAATTTGTCTTCTCGTGCTAATTACACGACGCTCTTGACAGCTAGCCTCGTTTTCGTAGAAACGTACTACTCTCCCTAGGGTAGGGCGAGGGGAAAAATGTTTGTCGGTTCACGTGGGCGGTATATAAACTGAAAAATCATAACGCATTTCACAGTGAGACCATAAGCATGACTTAGGGTGGTAAGTGGAAGTCGTAACGCTCTTCTCAGTGAGACCATAAGTATGGTTTGGGGAGGTAAGTGAAAATTCTCTGTTCCTTCCCTTCCTTTGGTGAAAGGCGATTCGTTCGCTAGTTTAGAACTTCACGTAAACGGCGTTTGTTTAGAAGTAACGGATGCTTTGGCCTCAATTATGTGATCCTGCGTGTGCCACTACATAGTGAACAATAATTCTACAGCTACCATCTCGCTGGCTTGGTTGAGTTTGACCAGGTTTTCCTTTCTCAACTCGTTGAAATTTTACAGCAAACGCGCCTCTCCGCCATAGTTGTTTTGTGTGTTGAGAGGCAAGCTAGCCTGAATGTTGGCAAGATCGTTCAATTGATATTTGAAACGTTTCTGTATTCATTTAGTGGAGACTCACTCTTCAAATGCTTTTCATATTCTGTCTATATTCATCGATCAAGTATTTAATAAGCTGGTACAATCATGTTGCTTGATTACAGTGCTTTCACGTCGTCCAGTAGTCCTACAGTAATATTGCTATGTTCTCAATACCTATAGTTTCACTTATTTTTGCAACCCGTTAATCTAACAAGTTCTCCATTGGGCTCTGGTGAAATCCATACTTATCTATTTCCATAGAGATGTCCTTGTCAATAACAACCAAGTGCTGGTACCTTGACTCAACATCTCTAATGTGCTACCAGTGCAACAACTTAAAACTATTTCAATGTGTTATCTCATCCCCAGTGCGCCTTTTATAACATCTTCTGAAAATCTTATGGCAGCTGTGAATTGCATTTAACCCTTCAACTCTCAGAAGTGATTAACATGTTACTTCTCCTTTTTAATATCTATAGATTATACAGCAAACAGGTAGCGAGAATACTCAAACTCATCAGGTATAAGATTTACCTTGATTGAGCATCAAATATGAGTAACCAATTTACAAGGAAATGTGTAGCAGCTAGAGGGGAGGATAAGCAATCACATCTGGGGAGTTAAAGGGTTAAGAGGCATGATGGAGCCTGTGAAGGCCATTTAAGAAATAATGACACAAATGAAAAGTTGAAATGAAACAACAGTACCTATATAAGTGTAACAAGAAGGAAACAGTGGCTTCAATGTGGAGTTTTAATCACAATGCCAAAAAGAACTTAGATATTGCACAATCAAAGCAACATGAAATGAATATATTAACTACATCCAGGGTATCGTGAGCTGTGTCATGCTGTTGGTATTGTCACAATAAGACACATCTTGATATGAAACTCAAAGGTCAATTCGAAGACCATTTGAACCACTAGCACCTTAAAACACAAAATACATTCTTTAAAATACAGTTCCAGTCAAGGTGGAAGGACATATTGAGTCCTTTATGGCTCTGTCTTATGTGCACTTTCTTGAAATATTGTTGCACACTTGTGACTACATAGTAGAAGTTGCAATCCCAGTACATGTCCCTGTTAGAGTTGGAACAAGAGCTTCTGATTTGTATCATACTGAAGATTAAAGTAATGGTACACTACAGGAAGCATTAATGTAGCTTTGGAGCAATTCAAACTACCATCTAAACCTGTAAAGACATTCGTGTAAATGACAGCAAAAAGCTGGTTTGGGCAGTGTCTTTAGAGCTTACTGTAAAAGAAGCCAATTTCAGTGAAATGGTCTTAGCTTCCGTCTTGATGAATTCATCTACCTCCCCAGTAGTCTAAAGGAATGAATACTCAAATGGTTAGTGATGAATTTACAATTTCATTCATATTTGGTCTCATTTGACTTAAATTTCTCCAAAAGTGATAATGTTAAGAGAGCAAATTTTGAAAAAAAAGACTTTTTTGTAGTCATTCAATTTTGATTAAAAATCTGGTGATCTCACAAGAAGAATGGGGAATACATTTTTGAAGGCACTTGGGAATAATAATCACAATAGTGGAATCCAGGAGCATGTCTTAAATATTAACTTAACATGCATGTACTTACTCTTCATTGTTTTGCTTGGTGAGAGGAGAATTGTGAGGCACAACTGTTGGCTTCATTGGATCTGAGCCCTCGATAAGCTGCTTTTTCAGCTCCAGAGGTTGTTGCAGTTTGTCCATCAAGAACACAGGCTTGTGTTTGAAACAGGTCCTCAAAATGAATCACACATAAACATAAGACTTCTTGGGGACAAACTCTTTGCAATGAATACACACAAATCATGTCCACTTCTTGTGCATGTGTTCTTTTTTGGGAAAATAGTGTGTTGATAAGCCTGGAGTTTCAGTTTTGTTTTTGCAATTTTCTTTAATGGGGCCACCAGCTACATATTAGCTCACTCCCAACACCATTTGGAACCTCTAACTACATCACTTCCTCTGTAAGACAAATGTTTTGGATGCTCACCAACTGGACCCTCCTTAAACCTTTGAGGTTTTGACTGTTTAACTCGCTGATCTGTATTTTTTTTTTTAGTTATAAAGTAGCAACCAGGAAAAATATATATTTTACTTCAGGTGCATTTT